ATGCCGTATCTCAGAGCCTGTTTTTGCCGCTTAATTGGGTTTACCTTTCACTTTAATATAATTATGCTGCAGGGGAGAGATAATGTCGAAAGGACTTACTCCCTCGATAAATCAGGCGACGGACCGACCGGTGACTGGTGCCTTGTTCTCCAGTCAGTTTGAGGGGGAAAATGTTTATAAATGATTGAAATGCTTAAAATTTTCATGGAAATTAAGCTGGCCAACAGGCAGGGCGGTTCATTAATTAATCAACGGGCTATCCCTGGCCCATCCTTGGGCTGATGGTCAATGCTGATGGTTTTCCATCCATCCACGCCCCAGCACGCCCCCAGTCCCATTGCAATGGGAGACTATCCGTCGTGTGCAAATACGTACAAAATGCAACGGAGAGTGTAAATATATTTCTGTTTTACCATTATAGGAGAAATATTTAGCCAGCAGCTGTTCCAACATCAGGCAGGTCCTGGCCTGGGCCTCGAAATAAAGGGGTGCCAATGGGTGCCTCCCAAAATATGTCTGCCACCCAGGGGAAATGCTACTTTGGGCCCGTTCTGGGGCTGCCACACAGTCTCCCAACCCCAACCCCAACCCCAACGCCAGTTCGCTTGGCTCATTCTCCGGCAATCGAGAGATACACGAACAAATTCCTGCACGTCCTTAGGCAACAAAAACAGAAATTGTATTAGGTTATCCTTGCACACACTCACTTACACACACACATACACACACACACACACGCAACCACTCACACAAAGGATGAAGGCAAATGGCCTTTCACGGTCGTTGCCGTCACTCACTCGTTGCTGCCTCCTCCTCTGTTCAACAGCTTTCTGGCCCGACAACAACACGGGGCAACATTGGCCATAGCCAACAAGGCTCTCCCCTCTCTCTCACTCGCTCTCTCTGTCTCCCTGCCACCCACTGGGGCCACGTTTCCTAGTATCCGTGGCACTCTCTGTCTCAATGCCCCCTCCCCCTCCACACACACACCCTCCCCACCAACGAAGCAGCCTTCTCTTTCGCACACTCTCCCTCTCTGTTGGCTCGCTGCTGGCTGTTGCCTACTCATTTGTGTGAAACTTGTCGCTACCCCGCATCCTGGCACTGTTTTGAGGGATGTCCTATAGCAAGAAATCAGTCCCCCGCTTACTGTAAATGAAAACTGTTTAATGCTGCCTGTATTTAATGCATACAAAAGCCTGAAGGAGCTGCGAGAGTGGACGTGAGATAACCACGTGTTGCCATGGGTGAACTCCATTGAACGTATTCAGTGGCCAAGTTTGAGTTCCACGAATTCCATAATTGCGAGGAAGCTGGCGGACTGGGTTTCCAATTCGAAGGAAGGAAGCCACATCCTTGGCATCTACTTATTTACAGGATATCCTTGAGTCCACCCTGCCTATGACACAATTCCTGTGGATGGGTCGGTTGACTTGGTTTAATGCTCGCTTCTCTGTGGTAAAACTGCTTGACGACCGAGAAGCGGCAACGGCGACAACATGATCATCATCATCATCATCATCATCATCATCATCATCATCATCCATATGCCAACATACAATCCAACACCCCCACCCAATCCTGCTTCACTCTCTGCGTTCAAAGTTCGTTTTATTATGGTTGAGTGCTGCCACTGGCTCTGCCTCTGCCTCTGCCTCTGCCACAGTCTGCTGCTGTTGCTGCCCCACAAAAATCCAATGTGCGCCCGCAAAAGCAAATAAAAGTTTATCATTTGGGGAAGCCCTGCGCTTTCATAGACTCTCTTCCCACTCTGTGTACACACACAGCACACACGTGTGGGTGCCACACTCTTTGTATTTGTATCCGTGTGTGTGTGTGTGTGTGTGTGTGTGTGTGTCTGATGAAGAGGTTTGGCCACACGCGCACACACAGATACACTCACTACACGTGTACGTTTCCTTACTTGTTTTTCCCCATTTTTCGCCTGTTCTTAACTTTTCCCTTAATTTCTTGTTTTCATTCTTTTTGTTTTTGTTTTTGTTTTTGCTTTTGCTTTGTATACGTTTGTATATTGCCCCGCTCTTGGCTCTTGTGGCAGGTTCTGTAATGGCTGTAGCTGGTTCTGGCTACAGGTACTCCTCTTGCTCCTCCTGTTCCTCCCACTACACGGCTATGGTTTGGGGTTTTATTTTGGCATACTCTCTCTCTCTCTCTCTCTCTCTCTCTCACTCGTAGAATTTTCTGGGGCCTGGATTTCGTTTCACGTTTTATTTATTTATTTTCCTTTCCCTTGCTCTCTTTCATTTCTGTTTGCTGTTTCAGTTTTGTTGCTCCTTGCCACTTTTGGGCCACTCTGCCCTGACCTTTTCAGTGGCTCTAGCGGGGGAGGAATGGGGTGAATTTTCTGGGCGTGGCTGCTGCCTGCAAAAACAACCTGGAAGAGTCAAGCTGAACCGTGGATAGAGAGGCAGCCAGTGGAGTGTTTTGATTATGGCTATGATATGGCCCGGGGAAAGGTGCAGCCCAAGGATACCTTTTCCCTATGCCACCTCAAGCTTATGCCCTGAGTGGGGTTTTATTTGGTAATGAGGAAAACACTCGAGTAAGTGTGGAAAAAGGGATTAAAAATGGCTTAGAACTATCTGCGGCTATAAAACCTAAACAAAATCCTAGAAAAGTCTTAACAAGTTTAATTTCCGATAACTTTAATGCAAAGGAAAGTTAATTCAGAGCCAAAGACTAAGTTGAATGAAAATGCAAAAGGAAATCAGAGCAATCAGCAAATGGAAATGGTTTCTGGGACATTATGGCCACACCTAGACCTACATAAGCTGCCACTTTTGTGGCACTTAGGGGACGCTGCACCTACAACCCTTCCCTTCCCTGCCCTTCCTCTCTACCCCCTCCACCCTCGTGAGCATAATGAATGGCAAGCCTCAACCCTCCTCCATTTAAAAGGCAAAAACTATAACAAACTAAAAGCCTTTTTCCATTCGAAATGGAAATGTAAATGGAATGCGAATGAACGCAAAAGTTGCCAAAGGGAAAACAGGCAAGCAGAAAAGAACAGAAAATAAGAGAAAACAAAGGTAGCGATGAAATGAAAATACACTGAAGTAACAGCACCAAAGGAACTTTCCGGACTCTCTACTCCCCTTGAGTATTCCCATAAATTATCTGCACAATGGCCAAGAGCAAAGAGTCAGAGCAAAGGCAAAGGCAAAGGCAAAGGCTTCCTTCCACCTCCAAAAAGGGGCAAAAGAAAAAAGAAAAATCCTCGAGCTCAAACAAATATTTGTAGCCAAATGTAAGGGAGCCCAGGAAAAGTCTATTTTCATTTTGACGTAGTTGGTGACACTGGCAGAACGCTGATAGAATGGCGAGGAGGGCGCCCAAGTCGAAGGCAAAGGCAAAGGCAAAGACAAAGGCAAAGTCGGCTTAAGGGCTGCCGGCTACCTGCCCCCAACCAACCACCACCATACCCAGCTGAACGACCCCCTGCCACACAGTTGGCAAAGGCAATGCCACACCCCTGTCGTGGCCATGTCGTGGCGTAGCCAACTGAGAGGGAAGAACGCTTTGAACATGTTGCGCTTGCCAGTCAGCGCCACAGTGGCTCCTCTCCGAAGAGTCCAAGAAGCCATTCGATTTGACTGGCAGGGGCCCACTGTACTTGCACAACGAACTGAAGCACTTGGCATATATCAAAAGGCAAGGCAACGCGCACTTGTATCTCATTTGGCGAAATTATATGCAGGAAGGGTGCGGGCAGAGAGCTACAGGAGAGGCAACCACCCACTGCAACAAAGTACGAGTAACTGAACGCTGGTGCTGTGGCTGTCTTTTTAATAAGTTCAAACTGTGGCATGAGGCACACAAGCAGCAGAGGCAGCAGCAACTACAGAGGGCAACATGTCTGTCTAACAGGCAAAGTGACGCAAAAGTATCTGCGACTGTGGGCTGTGGGCTGTGCCTGAATTCCAAGTATTCGTTGTATCTGTATCTGTCGCTTTGCCTCTGTGTGTCTGCCTGTTGACTACAAGTTTGTGTCTGTATGCGACACACACACACACACACACACAAGAAGACAGCAGAGAGTTCATGCCGCTTGCTGAGCTTGATTTTGAGGCCATTACAAGGGGCTGGTTGGGGGGACTACGACTACGTCAGCGTCGATGACTTGCTGCCTTGTTTGTGTGTCTCTTTCACTACCTCCCCGCTCCCTCCCCTCTTTTAGCACTCTTCCTCTTTCCTTTAACCATTTTTGTTTTGTTTGCTGCTTCTCTTTGAAAGAGCTTCCCAGCTGCAGCTCGCTCGCTCGCTCTCTGCCCCTCTCTCTCTTTGTGTGTGTTTGTTTGCTTGCCTTTTGTGTGCGCTTGGGGATTACGTAAGGGAATCCCCAACATTTTGCAGCGCGCACGCCACGCAACTGAAATGATAACAGCGCGGAGGGGGTATATGGAGGGAGTGCAGGGGCATGGAACTGCCACTGGGGGTGGCTGACTGTGGCTTTGCTGTGGGTGTGGGTGGGTGACTGACGTTGTTTAATGTTTTATGCAGCTCTCCCCCTCCCTGCCTCCCTCTCGCTTGTTGAGCAAGTGCGCGGCCTGTTCAAGTATTTCGTGGCACAAATAATAATGCAAAAAAAAACATGTATCTTCTGGATACAATTCGCACACAAACGAAGGGGCTGAATTTTCACATTTTTGCATATTTTATTTCGTTGAAGTATTATGGTGGGGGTTGGTGCTGGAATTGGTGGGGCTCCATCCACTCTCACATAGATTCAATTGATGTCCCCGCCATATGGCGGCTACAGTTGCTAAGGAGAGATCCTTGACTCTGCCGTAATTGAAAGGCCCTGTCGTGACTTTGCTGGAGGGAACTTTTCCGCGAAAGCTGTTCAAGTTCTCTCTCGTCCTTGAACGAATGTATCAAATTCCTGCCCCTGCCAAGATTTCCCAAGAACTTCTCAAGCCGTTAGGGGGCGGGGCAGAAGTCTGTGCCGAGCTAAATAAATAACAAGAAAAGATACTTACTGCCTCGGCCGCTGCCCCTGCGTCGTGCCATCTTTCCAGCAACCAAATAGGACTCAATGTGTGGGTGTGGGTGTGTCCTTGTTGCGCCCCTTCCTTGCGCTGTCACATGGGACAACTGTTGGATACTTTGGAGTATTTCCTATCGACGCCTGATTGATGTATATTTAATAGGACTCGTCGACTGGTCGGCTTGCTTGCCTCTGCATGTGTGTGTGAATGTCCTTGACGCACACACCACAACAATGGCTACCCCTCTAATGTCCTTGCTGCTATGTGTATGTGTGTGTGTGGCCTGGTTCCTGCCTGCCTCGCTCTTATTTGCCCACTAGACAAATGGGAGTAGGGGCCCTGCCCGTGTCCATGTCCCTCGCTCTCGTCGTGTCCTGCAAATGTGTCCTGATATGCCTTTTAGCCGGATGACGTAGCTCGCTCTCTCATCGCTGTCCCTTGCCTCTCGCTCCCCTGTAGCACAGTCGCTTACAGTCACAGTCCTTGGCTTTGGCGATTATTTGGGGATTTCCCAATTCCGTTGCACCGCTTGTTCCCCTTCTCTTTTTGCTGCTGCTGCTGCTGCTGGTGTTGCTGTTGCTTTTGCTTTTGCTATTGTTTTGTTGTAAATATGTTTGCTCTGGGTGTATAAATCCAAATATGTGTGGTGTGGGTGTCTCTTGTGTGTGTTTGGTTTTTGTATATATTAAATTTAATTCATTTTTGCGATATCTTCTGTTGGCTCTACTTCTGATAGTTGTAAATACTCGAAAAATGTTTATTGGTTTCTCTATTTGATATGCCGTTTACTCGGTTGTTGTTGTTGTTGTTGTTGTTGTTTGTTGTTGCTGTTTTGTTTCCCTCGTTTTGTAGATCTTGTTTCGGTTTCTGTTGCTGTTGGCTTTGTCTGCCGTTTCGTCATCAGATTGTTCTTGCCTGTTGTCGTAGGCCGTCGTGTTTTTGTATTTTTAATGCATTTATTAGCACTTTGTTTCCTTTCGTTTGCCGCTCGAAAGGACTATGTACGTCACCGTTTCCACGTAAATCGTCCACTCTCTACCGTTTACCGTTTACCGTTTACCGACGCTGACTAGCGAGATCGAAGTTTTGGCACCCACCGAGCGTACCGTAGCGATCAAATCAAATGAATGAAACTAATTCGCGTGGAAAAAAATGGGCGCGCGAATTCTTTAAACAATACTTCATCTGATCTGCTCGTTCTCGTTCTCCTTCTCTTACACCATTTGCACTATGAAGATATTTCTTATCATCTGTTGGTATTCCTATGCGTGTGATTGTGTGTGTGGTGTGTGAGTATATCACTTTTTAATATGCTTTATATGGCTGTGCGAATTCTATAAATAAACTGCTTGAATATATATACACTTCTTTCGCTTTTATTCCAATATAAGTTGTTGTTTTTTGCGCATTTAATTCACCGTTTACCGTTCTGCGCCTAACGAGATACGGATACGTGCGTCTCGGCTCGGTTCGCGGAAAAAGCTAAGAAAGCCTTCAATTCAAAAAATGGCTGCGCGCGCGTTTGGGGGCTACCCATTGTGAATTGTGTGTCAATATTGTGAATTGGCATTATTTTTGGGGTCAAACTGTAAGGGAAATTCTCTCCTGTGCCAGAACGGTCGGGGAAATTCTCTCCTGTTGCTGAACGCTGTTAACGCAGAAATGAGCAGATGCGCTCACGAATGCACTAGGCACTGCTTACATTTTGCACTGCTTTCAATTTCATGTTGAAGAGAGAGCAATGCAAAGAGAGCGGCTCTTAAGAGAACTTAAAGGCGAAGAGTAAAGACACAAAGCTAAAATATTATATCTGCGAGCATTTGAATGTATGCAGTTTAGAGAAGTTCCAGAAACCAACGCCGAATAGCTGTGGAGCGCCTTAAAACCGTTGAGATTTGAATTTAGATTTGCTATCATTTATCACAGAAATGCCAAATTAGAATTTGCTGTGAGAAGACCAACTAGCTGTTCGAATTTTAAAGGAAAATAATTACTTTCATTGTGTTTCACTATAGGTTTTGTATTATGTATTATCGCTAAGGATACACATGCGTGGTTCACTCAATGGCTCACTCACCTTCCATGCCAGCTAATCACTTCTCCTTATTGCTCTTTAAAGCCCACACACAATCAGCTTAAGCTCAAACTCATGCCATGGACCTGCTAGGCGATAATAGCTTTCACACAAGCTGCTCCAGTCGATTGCTGTACGCTCTGCCTCATGTCAAAGGGGCACAACAATGCGGTGTCAATGGGAATTAATGTAAGGGAAAAATGCGAAAACATCTGCGGCAGTGTCTGGGTGGATGTGGGCATGGAGATGTGGGGCGGGTTTAATGAACCATTGACACTGGCAGCTGTCAGTGTTCTCAACGGCCGTGACATGTGAAAGGCGTGGCCTTCAGCTCGTTAACAGGAAACCATCCGCCCCATTGCAGCCGAAGAAAAAGCCAGCGCCTTATGTGTGCGAGAAGGTCATGTTTGCTCCAAAGGATTTCTATAATTTAATTGAGATATTTCATTAGAATTAAATGCAAAATTAATCAAATTTCATTAGAACTGCAAGGCCTGCAGCTCAAGCTTCTTATCCAACGCACTCCTCCCGACAACACAACGCCAAACAACCGGCCACCCCCCCCCGTACAATGTTCAACAAATCATCAATGAAAGTTGTTCGAACCAACAGCTGACGTTTGTTTACGTGGGTGCCGCCACGCGCAGGCGCCATTATGCCGGGAAATTCGAGTGCGAAAAAGCAATTTGGCGCCAACGCCATCTCCCAAGCACTCCGAGATACCCTTGCAGTCGGCCGAAAACAGACAACGCGAGAGGATCACAAGCTCGGAAAGCGATGGAATATTTCGCAGTATTATTCTGAATTTTCGTAGTGGCGCAAAAAACATTCAAACACAACTATTTTTAGCAAGTGGCTTGCCAGCAACAAAGGAAAAAACAAACAAACAAATATTTCAACATTTTGAATGGTTCTTAAAATGAAATAAATGAAATGAAATAAAGTGGATCCAATCGTCTGGATTAGTGGAATCAGCACGGTGAGCACCACAAACTCTCCAAATCCAATTAAACTCAACTGAAAATACGCAACTGTTGATACACAATTCTCTTTACGCATTATTAAATATTAAAATATTTAATTGGCAAATAAATAGTTTGCCAGGCGGCATGAGAAGAGGTTTGGCGTGGAGAAAGACTGTACATGTGGAAATTTAATATTTGCATTGATTTATTCTCTCCATTATCCGTTCGGTTGCTGCTAATTATTCTATTTATATATCTTGTTTTTATATACAACTTTCGTGCCACGGGGCTTGTGACTGAACTCCTAATTGTATTTATTTGTTTTAAATTGTTCCATTTTTTGTGTATTTGCTTGTGGGTACATTTCCAGCAATATGCAAGGGCCCTGTTGCATCGTTGAACAGAAAGGGCAGACAATCGAAAAAGAAAACATAAATTTGCATATGGGCATGTCGCTTTTTGGTGAATATCAGTTACAATAGCTGCAAAATGATCGAAAACAACATAGAACATTGAAAATGAGACAACTGCTCATAATTCACACTGTCGAACAACATAACCAACAACATAAACGGACATATTAAAAAGCATCCAGCAGCAGGGGTTGGCAATGATAGAAGCTGACACAATGCCAGCAAAAATAGACAAAAGGTACAAATAATAATATTTATTGTACTTTGAATGAAGTTTTGTTTTGCGTGGATGAACCATGCATCATTCAGTTAGAGTCAACAGCGGAGTTGTTGGTTGTGGGTGCCATTCCATGGAAGCTTTATTATCTCCACCATAATACCAAGAAGCTTAGATTTCACCCACGCATAACTATTGTGTTTCCGCAGTATTGAATGCGCTCATAAACAATATTGTTTCAATTCTCGTACACGAGAATGATATTGACATTGCTGTTGTCTGTCCCACATTTGAATCCTTGCATTATTTCAATAATAAATATTCGGCTTGTAATCCAATGCAGTTTCTTAATTGATCAAGTTTCGGATGAACGGATGCGCACCGATAGATGGAAGAAAGCCTTGAAAATGTTCACATTTCCACTTGTTTGAAAATGTTTTATACTCATGCACGTGGATTTAAAGCAAATACAGGCCCATAAAAAACATTTTAAAGCTTTTATACTCTTAGTTGAATCAAGTAAAGTCGATTGGTTTCCACAAAGCCATTTTTCTCGGTGTAAAAAATACAAAAGTGCATGGGAATCTCTTCGTGTTCGAGCATTCAATTTAAAACTTAAAATATTCCTACAGAAATTCGAGATATTTTATAGTCACCCTAGGGGGCATGCCACCTGCATACTTTTCAGCCGTATACATTTCCTTTGTTGGTTCTGTTGGTCAGAACGGAAGCAGGGTTTGCATTTTCAAATGGACTTCAGTAAGACGTTTTAATCTAGGCCTGTGCCGATGTGCAAGCTGTTCAGTGGCTCCGTTCGAGTCTCAATTCCAGATAGTTGCACTCTTCTGATCCACAACACATAGCGTTTGACTCATGCTAGAGTTTGTAGCAGTTGTTGGTTATGTTGTTTGACAGTGTCAAACGAGAACACTGTTCATTAACCCACTGGATTGTACCTCAATATTGTTTGTGGGGAACACAATAGTTCTGCGTGGGGAAATCTAAGCTTCTTGGTATTATGGTGGAGGTAATAAAGCTTCCATGGAATGGCACCCACAACCAACAACTCCGCTGTTGACTCTAACTGAATGATGCATGGTTCATCCACGCAAAACAAAACTTCATTCAAAGTACAATAAATATTATTATTTGTACCTTTTGTCTATTTTTGCTGGCATTGTGTCAGCTTCTGTCATTCCCAACCCCCAGGGATATGTTGACCAAATTCGCTGCTGGATGCTTTTTAATATGTCTGTTTCACGGGCTCACGGCATGGGTCATTTTAATAAAGAACAATGTGGATGGACCTGCTAATGCGCCTCCTCCTGTCTGTGTCCATCAGCACATTTCATTTTCTTAAATTGCCAACATTATGCTAGGCCAAAGCCAGAGCCAAGCGAATAATGTTTCCATGACGCATGTACTTAAATGGTCTAAGAAATAAATCGTCCTTTACGAGGCCTCCAGGTTCCGGCTCAGACATTTGACTACAGAAATAAATGACAGCAAATTAGTCGATTCTTTTTGACTCTCAGTTATGAACGTTCCGAAACGTATGCGCAAGTGACTTCTGGCCACCGGAAAGAATTTGTCCCATTGCAAGGACATCCGACCGTATTCATGGCGGAAGAATATCTATTCGACAACATGGAGCAATCAATTTCGAGCCAATTTGGTGAAGCTAATTGCTGGAAACAATATGAAACGTATTCTGTTACACAGAAACCTCTTGCACATCAAAGAGCACTCAGCATTTGGTTCAATCAATGTTCGCATTTATTCCATATTTTGTCCTGTCAGGCATGAATGATCTAACAAAAGGGCTTGGCTTGCAATCAATACTTTGCATCAATTCAATTTGAAATCCTATCGGATGGGGTTCGAAAACGAGAAACGCGCAGCATTTAAATGGGTTTTTGCGGGTTTGTCCCTTTCATGCTCCAATTCATTGTCATCGTTATCAGCATAATAATAAGGATTGGCATTGACATACTCTTCTGTCAGATACAATGGATATTTATATTGGAAATATCGGATATAAATTAATTAATTTATTGGGAAACGTCCAAGCGGTTTCCGGGTTCACTTCAGGGGCTTTTCAGGCTTGAGCCGCATTAACGTTTTTCAGGATTTTCATGATTTTCGCTCCTTGTTTCTGCAATTT